CCCCGTGTATTCGCCATTCCCCTTGCAGTCTAGGGGGGTGCACCTGCCGCCCTGCCCTGCCCTGCCCTGCCCTGCCCGCTAGCCCATGCTCTCCAACTCACTAAGCTCTTGCCACCTTTCACGGTTCCCTTCTTGCCTTGCAGGTGTCATCCGCTCCCTGCACGCCCTGGGCCGTCTGGAGCACGTGTACTGCACGGAGACGCGGCCCTACAACCAGGGGGCGCGGCTGACGGCCTACGAGCTGGTGTACGAACACATCCCGGCCACGCTCATCGCAGACAGCATGGTCTCCGTGGCCATGAAGGAGAAGGGCCTGTCGGGTGAGTGGGAGTCAAGGCACCCAGCTCAAATCCCCCCAGCCACAGGTCTGGTTAGACAGAGGCGGACGTTTATTCAGCTGGTGAGTCTTTGAGGCAGGGCCTGGCCTAGGGGTTGGCATGACAGAGCCCTGAGCTCAGCCGGGACGGGCATCTGCAAAGCGCCCGGCACGAGAGGCGCCCATCTTGGTTGAGTCCTTCGGGTGGTAATGTAATGCACACTCCCAGGACTCGATACGCTGGATCTGACTAGGGATGTGAAGGACCGGCCCACAGGCTAGGCGACTAATTGCTTCTTCCCTCTCCCCCCTGCTGCCTCAATCAGAAAGAGGCGGCAAGGGGGGACAGAAGGGGGTACTTCAAAGGGGCAGCTCCACTTGCAGCCTGAGGCCAGACCCCAGGCTCCATGCAGTGCCGGCACTTTGAAACGCCGTGTGCAGCCCGGATCCCCCACTGACCCCGGCCTCCGGGCAGCGCTGCTGCTTTGAAACGTCGCGGCGCACCCGGCGTCAGGCTCCCCACGGCATTTGAAAGAGGCAGCACCGCATGGAGCCCAGGAGCTGCCGGGCTCCACACACAGTGCTTTCACCTTTGAAGTGAAGCAATAGCCCTAGGGCTGTTGCTGCGCTTCAATGGCAGAGCTGCCCTATGGACTAATCGAATAGTCGATGCAAAAATGCATTGACTATTTGATTAGTCAGTCGATACTTGGCATCCCTAGATCCGACCGGTAGATCCAGTAATCCAGTATGACGCCAGCATGTTTTGTGTGAGGCTGACACAGTTAACAGCTATCTCTCTAGGAGGGCGCTTATCCACAGAGCTCAAAGCACATTAGTAGTAGGTCCCCTGCTGCAGCATGGGGATGGGTAAACTGAGGCACAGAGAGGTGTGATGGCTTCCAACTGCTTTGCTGGGTATCTCGGTGTGGCCTCCCCACCTGGTGCCCTTTCCCCCTAGACAACCCTGCTTCTCAGAGAAGCATGCTGGGTGCTTCATAGAGCTGTTGTGTTGGGGGTCCTGGAGGACTGGGATCTGCCAGCCACAAGGACAACCTGTAGCAGGGAGGGGGTGGGAGGAGGGGACCACAGTAGGAGCCACCTGGTTGATGACTCTGGTGGTCACGTGACATGAGAACCACCCCTCCCGGATTTGAAGTGCTGCTTTCCCTCGCCCAGCTGTCATCGTGGGAGCCGACCGGGTGGTGGCCAATGGCGACACGGCCAACAAAGTGGGCACCTACCAGCTGGCCATTGCTGCAAAGCATCATGGGATCCCCTTCTACGTGGCAGCCCCCAGCACCTCATGTGATCTGAGCTTGGCGGAAGGCTCCGACATTGTGATCGAGGAGCGTCCGAGCCAGGAGCTGACGGACGTCAATGGCGTGAGGATCGCAGCGCCAGGTACCGTGGTCGGAGCACGTCCCCACACGGCGTCATGGGCCAAGGGGCTGTCCCGGTGCAGGAGAAGGAGGAGATCGTGGGCCGGGGGGGGGAATTCTTGGTTGGATTTGTATGGCGCGCTGCTGAGTGGCTCACGGTGTCTCTCTCTCCTGCCAAGGGATCGGTGTTTGGAATCCGGCCTTTGACGTCACGCCGCACGAGCTCATCACCGGGGGCATCGTCACGGAGTTCGGGGTCTTCCGCCCCGGCGAGCTGCGGGAGGCCCTCGCCGGGAAGTGAAAGCACAATGAGGCCCTGGGGCCAGTAGCTCATGCTGAGCAGGCGCGAGACTGTGGCTGGGGATGGTGGGGCCTGGCTTGGAGCTTTGACGTCCTGATAATAAACCCCCGTGGGCCTTTCACGCCACCGCTTGGCGCGAGACTGTGGCTGGGGATGGTGGGGCCTGGCTTGGAGCTTTGACGTCCTGATAATAAACCCCCGTGGGCCTTTCACGCCACCGCTTCTCCGCGTGGGCTGTTGGCTGCGGCTGTCGCTCTGGGTC